GAAAAAAAAAAAAAAAAAAAAAAACTTCCAAAGTGGGGTAGGAGGTGGGGTGAGAAGTTAAGTAGACTTTTCCCCAAATAGAGTCCAGAGAATAATGACTGTAGGAGCAGATTTCTTGGTTGAGCTTGGCATTCAGGCCTTCTGCCCAACAGGTCTGAAAGAATTGGAACCAATAAAGTTAGCAGGGAAAGTATTGGGATGATTTATATCTTTCCAATGCTGTTTTGCTTAGTTATACCTTACTTGTTCATCTGTTTTGCTGATAAATTATTGTTAGAAGTTATAGTATATGTTGAACTAGAACTCTTATAACTTGGTTTAGGTATCTTATTCCCCAAGTACTCCCTCGGCTGCATTTATTAAAACAAAAAAATCTTTATTCATTCTTTCTTCGATGCTGTGTTTGTACCAGCACCATAGACTTTAATATCACTTGAATCTGACTGCCATTATTAAAAAAGGGAAACTGCAGACATTTATTTAAAAAACTTAGTCCTCTTCTACCTCATCCAGATTTCAAGTAAAAAGTTGAAATCTGGGTGGGGAGAAATCTCATTTAAGAAGTAGTGGCATTACCTGCACTGAGTAAAATTCCTTAGAGAACAAGTTACACAGACATCCTAGACCTTAGGAGATTTTTATTTACTTACATGCACACACACACATATATATAGATATTTACATACATACATACATGTAGTCTGATTCTCAGAGACTGCCCGGAAAAGTCCCTGCAGTTTTCATGGCAAGGTTTTTCAAAAGTGGTTTGCCATTGCCTCCTTCCTAAGGCTAAGAGAAAGTGACCGGCCCAAGTTCACCCAGCTGGCTTTGTGCCTAGGTGGGACTAGAACTCATGGTCACCCAGTTTCTAGCCTGAGGCTTTAACCAATACACCAAACTGGCTCTAGGAAATAGACAGACAGACAGATCCATATTCTTGCAAAATAAAATAAAAGACCTGTTCTCTGGAATCTGGAACATTTTATTCTCACAGAAGGCCCAACTATGCTTGCAAATATCGATGCCAAAAATTTAAGAATTAAAATTTTAAATGTCTAGCATCTAATTCTTGTATTTATCTCTCTGAAATTTGGCAGGTTTCATTTATTAAAAAATACTCTACTGTCTGCAACTTTCATCCATTCTATTAAAAATTAAGAGATTGGAGCCCAATTGGAGTCCCAAGATAAACAATAAGATACATACATCTTTATCTTTCCTAAGCTTGTGTTGGATTTAGCACTATTTTGGGTAGTTTTCCACATTGTGAAACTGACATCCAACTTGATTCTTATGGTCTTATACACCTATAAATCCATATCCAAATTTTTATCACTGTCCTATTTAAATACAAGCCAAAAAAAAAAAAACACTTCTAACTTTTCAACAAAAAGCTGAACTGATCATCTTTATCCACACCAATATCTTATAAAAATTCCCTTACAAAATTATGGGAAAATAAGCCCATGTCTACCTTGCTCATGAGTTTCCTATTAAAAAGTTACATGGCTTTTAGGTAGGTAATACTTCCCCTCTAGGCTGAAGTACAATAAAGGTAAAAAGAATTAAAATATGTTGGCTAAGAAAAGCTAAACTTTTCTATAGCATCTCTTTCCTATATTTTCCCCCCATAATGATTTTCTATTGTTCTAAAAATACAATTGTTTTTAATCACTTTTCTTCTGCTTAACTGAATTGATAGATTAATATACAAGATCAATTCTAGAAGACATTTTATATTTTTTAAATATTATATGAGTGTTTTTTTTAATTCCAACAATGCTACTTTCAACAGACTTTCTTTCAGAAGAGTCACAAAATGTCATTTACTTAGTAATCTAACAAAAACTCAGACTTGTTTCTTGCACTGATACTGGGTGTGGAAAGCAGGTTGATCCAGTAGCCATATAGAAAGGGAAAGTTAAGAAATAATAACAACAAATGACCCCCCCAGCAACATCCAGTATGTTTGATATGCTATGGCTAACTTCTATTACAACTGATAATAGAGGGCTACCAAGCATATTTCAGTGATTTTTATTTTATTATCATAATATAATACTTTGTAATTGCATTTCCACATGCCTGTGGTTTTACAAACAGTTCAACTGGTATTATGAGTTCAACTTATAAATAAATGCAATAATGCATTTGCAATATGCAATATGCAATACGCAAATGCAATAAAGTATGTGAATTCATGATTTGTAACTTATCACTATGGACCATTCATTAAGCTGGAATCACTGTAATAATAATCCAAATATTTTCATTATATTATACCTTACACTTAGTGCAATGATCAAGTTTAAGTTAACCTTTGAATAATGTCTGATTACAACTAGGGCAACAGCTAGCCATAAGAACTGACATCTCCACATCTATGGATTTTTCCAGCATTAATTATTTTATTTATTTTACATAAGAGGCATATACAGCTGTCTACCTTAAGTGCCATAACTCTGGGCAGCTCATAGCAGCAGTGATAAGAACACACACAAAAAACAAAATTCAACATCCAAAAAAACAACTCTTGGTGCCCTAAAGCAGTAATATCAGCAAATCAAGGGATGGCTTAATTAACCATTATAACCTACTTATTTATTCCAGATGTTGTATAGCCAAAACAGAACAATGAAGAAAAATGAAAAAATATTTATCCTAATCTTAGGAATTCTTCAGTTCGATATTAAGCTTCAGTAGTAAGAACGAGAAACAAAAGAATTCCAATACTTTTGCTACATATATTGGCATTCTTCAGAACATGCATATTCATTATTTGTAAGTTAAACACTTTAAACATTTTTGGTTGAATTTCAATTATGATTCAGAGTACATGAGTGCCCTCTGGTGGTTAAATATTTCTGCATTCATAAAGAAAGATCTTGTTTACATCTCATGATATCATTAACTAAATTATAATTACAACAACATAGAAGCATCATATCAGCTTTCCAAACTTAAGAAACAACTTATAAGCTAAAATAAAATTTGTTCCCCACTCCCTAGAAACTGAAGAGTAAAGATAACAAATTTGATCAACTCATCGAGTTAACCTCAAACAATTCTCTTGCTTTCTCTCATACATCCAAAGTTTCATTTCTTTTGGCTTATAAACTTTTAAAAAATGATACATAACAAAGCATACTATTTTGTATTCTCAGAAGACAAACTAATATTGTGTAACATTTCAACACCATCTAAAAATTCAATATGAATGGACATATCATAAAATAAAGAGAAGAAAACTATGAAGAAAAAATACCAAGGCTTTTTGTTTGTTTGGTGCCTTCCAGTCAGTCTTGACTCTTGGCAGTTGCCTGGACTAGTCCCTGTAGTTGTCTTGGCAACATTTTCAGAAGTGGTTTGACACTGCCTGCTTCCTAGGGCTGTGAGCGAGAGGCTGGCCCAGAGTCTCTCAGCTGCTTCATGGCCAAGGCAGAATTAGAACTCATGGTCTCTCAGTTTCTAGCCTGGTGCCTTTACCCTCTACATGAAACAGGATCGTACTAGAGCAATACATATTATAAAATGATATATTATAATTTCATCTGGATTTTATCCAAATTAAACATATATGTATTAATGCTATTATGATTAAATGTACTCTATGAAGAAAGCAGAAGCCAAACTAGAAAAAAGGCATTTTATTGAGACATTATCAATACCATTGCATTAATAATAACTTCTCAATTTCCAAAACATGGAAACTGAGAAGCCATTATTCTGGACATCTCAGGTCCCATATTTCCTGTAATTTAATTTCCTGCTTTTAATCATATGTTCTTATAAGTATGTCAGCAATGGTCTCCTCCAGTTTCCATTTTTTTACTGGAACAACAGGTTTCACAGCCTGGAGGGCTCAGAAATTTGGTATCATGCTCAAGTTTTATTTTTAGAAAATCCAAGAGGCTATATCTTTTTTTCACAAGGATGTTCCTGTTTGATATGATCTATGATCTTGTTTCTTCCCATAAGAAGGGAGCAGAGTTGAGCCAATAAATTATAAATTGAAATTAAAAATTGCAATGATTTCTGCCTAATCTGGAAAATCTGATGATTTAAACAAATTGTTTTTTAAAAAAGTATTATAATCTTATGTTAAGAAAACCCAAACTTTGAATGTTGGTACAAACCCTTTTATAAGACTGAATTCCAAAAATGGTTTCCACATTGAGTTCAATTCCACATCAGATTGTTTTTCAGATGTGAAAATAATTTTGACATTGGTGAATACTCTTAATTTGCCATTTTTCAGTTGAAGGGGCTCTTCATAATTTCCAATGAGAAACACAAAGAATCCTAGCAGCTGTTCCCATGTACAAAGCCAGTTCTAAATACTTTATAAAGATATAAGGTTTAGTAATATTTAATAAGAAAATAACAAGCTGAAAAGAGAAATCCACCTTTAAATTATGATTCTTAATCATTTTCCAATATTGCTGAGCTTTATAAAACTGCCAACATATATGAAAATAATGACCCATTTTAGAACACGATTTGTCGTCTACTCTCATAATCAATACTGGAGTAATACAGTATACCACTACCACTAGAACATCTTGTAACAATTGTAAAATTAATCATAATTTTGCCATTTCTCTTCCACTGATAACCCCATCGTCGCATGACAACTGATCTGCATCCATTTAATTATACAGCCTTTGCTTTGTGCACTTTATGGACTATACTTCATCAGCAACTTATAAACAAACCCCAATAACTTATTTTTTATTTATTAGTCAAATGTGTATGCCACCCAACTCCCAATGACTCTTGAGTTTTCGGTGATAACTTTTTTGAATTAGTCAAATCTTTTATTCCACCTTGTTTCTGTAATTTATTTTGGACTATATTATTTATATACGTAGATACCAGAACCAATGAGCTTATTCTGGCCATTCTGAGGAAAGAATCTCAAAGGATTTCATTTTTGCCTTATTAAAATTAAGTCTTGCATTCTATATGAATTATTGCCCATCCACTGATCATTATTTTTATACATTCTCCTTTATCTAAATAAATACTTAATAGTGAAACACGAGGTGATAGATATGGACTAATTCTTTTTCTGTATTTATCCCATACTCTTAGATCACTACTTACCACTGAATGATCCCTTAAAAATTATAGACCAGAGCGTTTGGTATACGCTATCTGGAAGTCCTGCTTCTTTCATAGAAGCAATCTAGCCATAAGGCATTGTAATCTAATCTATTATCCAAATTAAACAACACACTAACTACTCTGTGTTCTTGCTTCTTCCTCTGAGAAGGGGGCAGGATTAAGAAACTAAGAGCAGAATAGTACAAATGTGCACAATGGGATGAGAGCAGGGACCTTTTCTGGGTATCCTAAACCCTGAAATCACCACTGTACATTATCCTCTGAGAAGGTATGCTATTATATTTCCAGAAAGATTATTATTTTGCCTATTCTTTGCACCAGGTAGTAAAATACTGATCACATTATTTATTTGCTGTTTTCATGTCATCGGTAGTATCCAGTCTCTTTCTTAGAGAGGGGATTGTAACTGTTACAGGGCTGAACCAATCTTTGAATGACATATCGGGAACCATACGTAGAGGGTAAGGTCACAGAGGGGGGGAAAACACCTAAAGTGGTTCAGAGATAAGAAATTATGTACATTAAATCTTAACATTAATCAAACATTTAATTGTTCAAATTTAACACATTTAAAGCAATAGCCATTCTCCCACATCTCCTTCTAGGTTTAAAATACATTAAAAACCATGTGAACAAAAATAAATAATTCCACCACTCTTTCATCTATATTCTCTTTCATATAAAGTTGCCTCATATACAGAAGCAGCACTAGAATGAGGCAGGGAAAAAATGGCAAATTTGTTGTTGCTGGACAACAAAAGCAGTAGGGGAATACAGATGGTAGCATCTGATCCCTCAGCCAACTGCATGTGGCCCCTGAGCCACAGATTTGGCACCAGTGTCTTAAACTACTGCTCCTCTGTTCTTTCTATATTAGTGAAAATAGGCCTGGACTGATCATTTACCTTTTATACCTCCAAATGGTCCATGTGTCATGTTATATGCTGTTCGCTGAAGATTGTGTTCATACATACGTTTTAGCTGGTATTGGTTGCCATGTTCAATGTTTCCTAAGCTTCCTATTAAATAAAGAAAAGGGCTGCATTAAGCTTGCAGTATTTTCTGTGGCAAATGTATTGTGAAAGATACTGTACTGCAACTGTGCTACACTTGAATACTGTTGTCAGAATTCAGGTTTCCCTGAATTATACCATATATCCCCCCCCATCCCTATATCACAAAACTGGAAAAAAAAATCAACCAATCGCTACTTAAAGGTAAGTGCAGTATATTTTTCTCATAGAACTGGAAGTTTTCAGTTTATACTCTGTTTGAATTGGTTCTGATGTCGAATAGGGGATACAGAGCTGTAACACAGTGCAAATGGAGAAATGACATCACAACCTCCCTAAATTTTGGTGGACTCTTAATTCCTCATCATCCATAACTTGCTATCTGGAATCAATAGAGCTTGGAATCTAACAACAACAGAAAGCTGCAAGCTACCTGTTACTTGAGGGGTCAAAGCCTCAGACAAAAGTTCATCAATCCATTTTTCCATATCATGGAATCTTTGAAATATGAGGGTGTTCAAAACATATCATTCCTCTACAGATTATCAGGTAGAAAAATCTATGTGGTCACTAAGAGTTGACAATGATTTGATGGCACATAATTAATCAATCACATTATTAGCCTATAACACAGTCCCCACAAGGGTGTGCCTCAACTTCCTTCTGCACCAGTTCTCTTACTACTCATGATTTAAACAAATTGCGGCACAATAAGCTAACCTTGGCACCGATATAATTGCTCATAAACATCTTCTGGACATCAATCTGAGCAAAAATGTTGAGCTCCAGGTTTAAGTATTAAGGTATGCTCCTATTACATGATTCTCACTAAAACAAGTGTTTTTAAAAATATATAAGCAAGTTGTAGTAAACAAAGAGACTAGAAATACTCAGCTGTGTACTGTTTGTTATTAAGGTGAACCAAGAAAACATTTTAAATGGTCATTAAGATTGTATCCATTGCACAGTAGTGCTTCTTTTTGGTTTATCAATCATCAATACTGTTCAACAATGAAACTTTTTTCATTCTGATTTTAGGATTGTTGCATGTTTCCAAAATAAATACATTTTCAATAAGAACTTCTTTTTCCTGAAGTTTTGCTTTATAGCTATGCATGCCTTTACAAAAACGTATACAGCTACAGCTTTCCTTCATGCTGCAGACAGCCTCAAACTGAATTTTCTACACTAAACATAAACAAACGATATATAGTGGTGCTTGAAAGTGTGTGAACCCTTTTGAATTTTCAATATTTCAAAAATATACGTATAGTCACAAACATTCCTCAATAAATAAATGAACAAGTATAATGTTTTTGATTCATTTATTACATTGGGTTCTCTTTATCTAGTTTTAGGATTTATGAGGAGGACAGATCACATTTTAGTTCACATTTATGCAGAAATATTCAAAATTCAAAAGGGTTCATAAACTTTTAAGCACCACTATAAGTAGCACCATAAATGGTACAACAATCTTGTACTATGTTAGAAACTTCCTTTTCATTGCCACAAATTAAGAGGAAAACTTCTCTAAAAGAGTAGTGTTACTTGAGCTAATAATTACTTTTTCAATAATATGGGGATAAATAAATAAAGTTCTCCAAAAGGGTATCGCCTTTTTTATAATGTGAAATAGATTTGGTATCCTTAGATCTGGAGGAAGAAAAACTTGCTATATTTTACAGGTGGAAAATAGGGAAAGTAAGTTGCAATCATCATTTGATTTCTTTTTTACCTGAGACAGCATAGATGCACAATTTTTTGCAATGCAATACAGCAAGATGAAGCAATTCTGTGCCACTAGCAGAAAGGACAAGGGGGAAAATGTGATATTTTTTTAAAAATACATTACTTGAAAATTAACAATCTAAAAGACCAATAAATCATATTAAGTACCAACAGTATATAACATATGAACTTTTTTGCACTTAATACTTTTGACAAATCATTTTTTAACAGCTGCATACTTATGTGTAGAGAATAAGGGAGATGACCTTGACGGAGATAGGCAAGCTCCATTACTAAAGTGACAAGGGGAAAAACATATCTTAAGTCCAAAACAAGCAGAAAGTATGCAGAAGTGGCTTAGACAAACACCTCCCTAATTCATATGGGTATAAGAAGGGCAGGAGGTACAGCACAATCAGACTTGCAAGATCTGGTTAATATAACCACTCTCAAAAAAAGTAGTTTTAGTCTTCCTGTGGAGTTGATTCCTGGTCTGGTCTACCTGGTGGGCTGATATCAATCTTGCAAGTTTGATTGATTTTATATGTATTTTGTATTTTATATGTAACCTCTATAAGTCACACAGAGTCCAGTTAAGGTTTCTGGGGGTAGACAAATTTCATAAATAAATAATCCACAAAGCCTGACACATGGCATCTCTACAGCATTATAGTAACCATTAATTATATTGAATACACTGATCAACATTTATTTATCTGAATTTATTAGCCACCCATCTCAGCGGACTCTTTCTTTTAACATGGTGATCTCCCTTTATTTTATCACCATAACAATTATTTTATACAGTAGGTTAGGCAGAGAGAGTATGACTAAATGATGGTGGACTTGAACATACGTCTCCTGAGAGCTAATTTAATTATGGGTTATGGGATTAGGAACTCTCAACCATCTTTTTACTGGATCTGGGCCCTCCTGGGTCATAAAAGCAGCCAGGAAAGTGACTTGTGGCTGGGTCCACCTCATGGTGTTGGCCTTTCTGGAGGGGTTGGTACCTTCTGCATTGAAAGATGCAGCCATGCACCCCTTCCTCAAAGGCTGTCCTGGGACCCAATGGTTTTCAACAATTACTGACCAGTCTCCAACCTTCCCTTTTTGGGCAAGTTTCCTGAAAAGGTGGTCAGTCTGCAGCTGATGAGAACCCTGGAGGAAACAGATTATCTAGACCCATTTTAGTTGGATTTCAGGTTGGGATTTAGTGCTGAAACAGCCTTGGTTGTGCTTGTCAATGACTTGTGGCAAAGCCAGGATGGAAGTGGTACATCCATCCTTGTGTTCCTTGATCTCTCGATGGCTGCCAATGCCGTCAACCACAGTATCCTGAGCAGCTCCATGGGTTGAGGATTGAGGGCACTGTTTTACAATGGTTCTCTTCCCTTCTCCAGAGCCGGATCCTGTCAATGTTAACTGGAGGGGGTAGGTCACTCCCTAGGCCCTCCTTTGTGGGGTACCACAGGGCTCTACTCTTTCTCCCCTCCTTTTCAACATCTACATGAAACCGCTGAATGAAGTTATCTTCACAAGCTGCATTGGTTGCCAGTTTGCTTCCAAGTGTGATTCAAAGTGCTGGCTGTTATCTATAAAGCCCTACATGGTATAGAGCCTGGTTACTTAAGGAACTGCCTGTCTCCCATAGCATCTGTCCAGCCAATTAAATCCTGCAGAATTGGTGCACTCTGGGTTTCTTCGATTAAATAAAACCATCTACTGGGAATCTGAAAGGATGCCTTCTCTGTGGCAGTGCCTGCCCACTGGAACAAGGCTCCCCCAGAGATCTGAATGGCCACCACTCTGCTATGGTTTAGAAGAGCTATGAAGGTCTGGTTTTTCGCCCTGGACCTCAGCGAAGGAAAATTAGACCCCTCACTTCCTTCCATCTTGTCTGTCATGCTTGCCATTTTTATCTTTATCTTTTATCTTTTATTTTATTGTAATTTGTGAGGTTGTTGTGAGCTGCCCAGAGCTGTTGAGAGTCAGGCAGCATACAAGTTTAATAAATTATTATTATTCCACAGGTTCACAAACTCCTGGAAGAACAGGACTTCCAGATCATCATGAACACCTAACTTTTTGTATGCTGCAATTTCCTTATTTATTGCTTTCTGCTGTTCACAATTTGTCATAAAAAACTAATCTTCAAACCATGATTGAAACCAGCATACGATTTGGTGGTTGCTACTTAAAATCATGAAACTAAGGTGGATTTCATGAAAAATGTGCCCCCCTGCAATATGAACACAATGATCTCACTCTAATTTTGTTTTGTGATACTGCCACACAGCAACATTTGAATAGCACTGTGTTATGACAGTACAATCTCTAATTAACTAAGTGATCCAGCCAATTAGAAAGACAATAATACCACAATATTTGCCAAGTAAATCAACAAACAAAAACCAACAATATAAAAGAGAGGAGAGGGTAGATGGAATCAGGGTCTTTCTGGAATCCTTTTCCCCCAAAAATCCTCTTTTGTGCAAGTAGTCACTCACAAAAATTCTGCTCATCTTTTGCACTTACCATAATTGCTAATTTGGACACTGGTAAATTACAATTCACAAAACCAGGAAACAGTGGGATACAGTATTGGAAAGTGGAAACTGATAACATATTTCTGATCTTTTGATAAATGTCTGAAGAAATATACAATTAACAAGACTTTTTTTCTACTCTCTTGGAGCTATAGTTGAAACTTAGTATTTCTGAGCTTTAGGATTGCTCCAAGAAACCTAAGCATCCAAAGCCTATATCTTGATTACTACACTACAATCCCAAGACACTTCATAAAATATACATTAGGGAAGCAAGCTGGTTGTAGCAGTAAGATAAATTAGTTTAAGTCTACCAATTAGCTTGATCACAAACAGCAACACTGTTTACTTACGAAACAAATTTTCCTACTTCCACTTGCAATATTGGCTCAGGTAATTGCACTTCCAAGAGCAAATCTTCAGCTTGCATAGCATCTCCAGGTTTTATAGGATGGGGATTGTAGATTCTAAGAAATCCCATATAACTGCCCACAATGATTTTATCTGAAATAAAAACATATTTATGGAAGAACAATTGAAGCCTTCACAAACATCCATATTCAGTTCCTTCTACAATGTTCTAAGTAAACACACCATAGGACCAAACAGTGCATGCTTTATTTTAAATAAATATTATTTACATCCCTTCTCTATAAGCCCAAGTAGGCACATATCCAGATCTCCTAACATTTTATCCTCCACAAATTTCTTAGAAATTTTAACTGGCCTAAAGCTTCCCAGTGAGCTCCATGATTCAAAGGTTTTATCCAGTCCTAGCCCAATACCATAGAACACTAGCTATTTTCTTAGAATTTAATTCTTCTAAGTTTAGTACGATGCATCTTGCAATAAATATGTTTGGAATTACAACCTCACACCTGACTGCAAGCAATACAATTTCATAATTTTAATCACACATTAAATTTAAAAGTATCCACTTACCTTGTGCACTGCTGCTATTGTCAACATTTGCAACACATAAGCATCCTTGGTCAAATTCTTCTTTATTGCCAACTATTGTAGACCACCACTCCCGGGCTTTAAATAAAGACATTCTCTGTCAGCCCTAGTGGGAAAAAACTGACTAGTATAAAACCCTTTAATGTTTTTAATAATATTTAATCAGATTTCATCTAACATCTGTTTAGTAGGTAAAATATGAATATATTTTTCCTTCAAAATACCACAATAAATCATTACTTCTGATATGCATCAAGCTTGTCATTCACAGTGCTTATGTAACACAACGATGTGTTGACATTTTAGCTGGCATCCCACAAATCAAAAGAAAATGTAACCTGCAGAGTTAGGAATGCAGAGTTAGGAAATTGCAGTCCAGTGGAGTTTTCAATTCTGTATCCTATCTCAATCATTAAACAAACTCAGGAGAAATTTAAAAGCAGTTTGTGAGGTGGAGGCTATAAATACCTGTTCTAGCATACACAGAAATCCTCATTGTACCCTGAAGGTCTTGCTGGATCAGAGTATTAGTGATTACATTATGCTTAAAGGAAAGTGCTATGTGTACTGTACCAAGCTTTAACAACATAGATCACAAAATGGGATTTCATTTTGTATTCTCCTTTATTAAATAAATACCTTCACACCAATGTGGTACAAGAAATGAACATTATGCTGGCATCTTAGTAACACAGTTCCATAAATTAAAGCATGACGCATCCTTTCTCCCACAATGGATTGAAATAACAAGCTTCTTATCCAATTACTGCAAATTCTTTAAAAAAACCAGGACCCTGATTTGTTTCTTATTTTGCAATATTAGGATCTATTTTATCTATTTAGATAAAATGGAAATCTATTTAAAATGAAATATCTTGCACTCTTTAACACCCTTGGAAATTGATTGTGAGGTATTGTTTGGAGCATTATTTAACATGATATGAGGAGCTACAAGTTGTTTTCTAACTACTTCAAATGTGTTAATTGGATATCTGGTATAATTTCTCCCTTTTTCTGATGTTAATAGTAGAGTTGCTTATATAGCCAAAGGAGCAATGCCCTTGTACATGGAAGAAGTATTCAAAGTCTTGGAGAAACCCAAAGACCTGCAGAAAAGTATAAATAGTATGAACAAAAAATCCTAATGACCACAGAACACAAATTGCCTTTTGAACATAAGAAAAGGAAAACTGAGTTGGAAGAATAGAACAAAATATTGTAGAACAAGGAATAACTGACAGACTGGAACAAAAATATTTTCTATATTATTTATATAGCTGCCCATCTTGCCAGTTGCAACTCTAAGTGGCAAACAAAAGATTCAAAACAACAGAACAAAAAACAGGATTTAACAGGATTGCAGTCATAATGAGATTCTCTACCATAATGGACTTCAAGTTGTCCTTGTGACACACGTTAACTCAATCAGGCAGAATATAAATAGCTTGCACTAATACCTACTTAAAGTTATCTGGTACAGTATATGGTGAAGAAGAAGAAACTGAGTAATCCTTGAGTATGTTAATGCAATTTTTTTTAAATACACATATTCAAATCACAAAAAGTATAGCTAAAGTTCTACTGATTGCAAAATCTTTGACAAAACTGTGCAAATGTTGCCAACTAAGATCTAAATTAATCTAAAATATCACTTTCCACAAATAGTGCTAAAGCTCTTTAAGATCATGCTGGCACTGTTCATTTGTAAATTTAAAAACAGATGAAACAACCCCTTTACAATATTCAGTACTATAGTGATTTGAATAGCACTAACAACAGACTATCACAAGCATATCCTATTAACTGTATTGATCCAGAAAACATGTACAGGGGGGTGATTACGTTACACATCCATGCAGCCCAAACTCAAGCCCTTCTACTGTAATTCCTACTCAGCTTAACAGATTTATTCCAAGAAAAGCATGCATAAAACAACATGGCTATAATAGCAATCTTACACACTTACAACATCGCAAGTGTATGTTACTACTTGGATGAAAACTTGCAGAGTATCGTGCTATTCCAAATAATAGCTCTTTCCATTGCACTAAATCATGTTCGTTTTATTGACTTACCCGACTCGTTCGGTAATTGAAGAATCTTCCTTTTTTTCTCACCTGTGTTGTCCTTCTTTACACATATTCACAGTTACAGAGAAGGAGCACTAGCCCATTCCAAGAGCTTAAGCGGCACATGCGTGTGACAAGGAAGAGAAATGAGCACTAAAGGAAAGAGGGTCACTACTCACAGACTTTAGGGTTTTTTGCTCTATATCAGGACCAAAATAGCGGATGGTAGCCCTTTAAGTGCCGTTCTTTTACGCCAGCATTACAAGAGAAACGTATGAGAAGTTAAGTAAACAGAAACGGCCATGATGAACATAAAATCAAGCCTACTAAGCAGGAACGTGGATGAACTTAGCTACGTGAATAGTGAGATGAAAAGCCACAGACACGACCTAAGCCACTCTACCCGTCGCCATTTTTCTTCCCGTTGTCATAGCATCTCAACAACCAACGCCTGCCCCGCCCCCTCCTATTCCCAAGGCAAGTCCCTTGGACGAGAAGGCGGCAAGCCCGGCTGAAGTTTGCGGCCGGTGGGATTGGTGTTCTAGGCGGCGGAGTGCATGCTGGGAAATGTAGTCTTAGCCCAAAAAGGGTAAGTATTGGTGGATTAGTGGTAGATTGGATTGTACAATTAGGTATACAAAGAGAGGAAATATCTATTCAGCACAGTGAAAGTATTCCCCTCGCATCTTACTTAAGTTTCATTTTGTAATTTAAGTATAAAAAAACGGAAGAGCTGTTCTGAATTAAAATAAGTAACTAGAAAAACAAAAAAGAAATTAAATCTTACCCCGTTGTGGGGTAAGATGGTTTCTCCCACTGGATCAGCCGGGCACTTCCTAATAGTCCTAGTACTCGCTCTCTCAGTTCAACCGTCAAGAGCGTTGTTAGTGTCAACCGCCGTTTCTCTTGTACGCGCTCGCTGGTAGGCAGGGAATAGAGCGTCTGAGGCAGCAAGAGACGGGATTCGGCTCCTTTTCCCGCTTAACGGCGTTTTGACGGAGGACAGGGACTCTACGAGGGCCCAGGGCGGCAGGCGGCGTGCAGGGCCTCGGAGAGCTACCTTGTGGCTTGTCGGAGGTCCAGATTCCGCGACCTCGCCGAAATCTCCATTTTCGGCTTCAAAGCCGGCGTTTAAGTGTGCCGCCATGGACAAGAGCGCCGTAGCCAAAATGGGAGCAGTGGCCAGCGCCAGCGTGTGCGCCCTGGTGGGTGGAGTAGTCCTGGCCCAATACATCTTCACCGTAAAGAAGAAAACGGGCAGGAAAACGAAGATTATAGAGATGGTAAGCGCGCTTTAGGACCCAAATGCCCAGTTCTGTGCCTTCTCTCCGGATGTCAGCTTCGTGGAATTCACCAAGACTTGCGGACGAGCAAACGTGCAATTAGTACCTACCAGTTTTAGCACTATTGATTGAAAATGAATCCTAACAGATAGAATAGGCTGGGGCTTAGAAGTAAACATACTTAGGATCTGGCTATAGGCCTCTGAACATGAATAAAGTTGTGATGATAATCCTTTGTTTACTAGTTGGGAGTGACGCTGAAGGAAGTTGGTAAACCAGATTGGCATAGTTGGATCAGGTTGGTACAGCCCTGTATGTGTGAACACGGAATATATAGGTTGCAGTCTGAGCCTCGTGCTAATTACATGGGGTATTTATACACATAAGGCTTAGTTTTCACTTTTAATATCCATTCCCAGGTTATCCAATAAACAAGTTTGCTGGCAGCCTGGAATTGACTACAGTATTGTGTTCATGAATGTAGGATCCACACTACCTAGGTAATGTGACTATTATCCCCTCTAATCAATAAAGGAATTTGTTCACTTATATGAGATTATTATCTGAAGATGTTTTGAGTAAGAAAGTTATCAGATTGCTTTAGTTAATTACTGATAAATGTCTGTAGTAAATTGCCCAAAGACACATACCAACCTTTATCACTTAATATGCTATTACTTAAATTTACATATTTACGTTGCAGGTAAGAACATAAAAGCTGTGCTGGATCACACTAAATATCAATTTAGGCAACACTCTATTGTAGTTGCTTACGCAAACTGTGGGATACCCACAAGCAGGACATACCTGCAACAGCAAAATAGAGTTATCTTTAATATAGTCCTATGAGGCAGAGTTTCATTTCCCATACAAAAGTAATCAGATACTTACTACACTGAAACCCCAAAATTGATCATGTATGTGATTCATTGAAAGCTAAGAATGAAATGAATGGTAAGCTGGGTAGTGTGAAGCTGTTTATATACATTTCAGTGGTGGCTCGGTTTGCATATCATACTGGCCTATGAACTAGTCCATTGTAGTTTAATGTAATGTTGTGCAACTGCAATCTATGCACTTAGTATGTAATTGAAAACCAAGAAATTGGATTAATTCCCTACATGGTTAAGATAATGATGGTGCATTGTGATATGATAGTCAGTGAAGTGCTGAATTGTATTTTAGATCAACAGTATAGGGCTCAACAGTGTCCAGTCAAAATCTAAGCAATTTTCTGATTTGATATGCTTAAATGGGAATTGTAAAGGAAGACTGAAAACTTGGGCATGCATAGGCAATGAGTCTTGTAGTAATTAATGGAGCTTAATAAATTGCTGAATAAATATAGAGTTGGGTTAAATGTTACAGTCTGGCCACCTCGTGATTCAAAGAGATTTTCCGAACTGGATATTAGATTTGGAGAATAAAACATACTGATTTTGTTATAGTAATTTTTTGCTTAGAAGTTCTGAACACTCAGTGAAATCATTAGAAACACAGCCATTATTCTGATTCTTCTGTTGATAAGGCTGTTAGTCCAGAGGCTCTTAATATTACCACTTAAAGGCACTGGATACTACTGTGACTTTTCTGCTTTAACAGATTTAGAGTAAGGAAAAAGTTGGATTGGTTTGTAACTCTGTGTTTTCTTATATAAGCTTGTGTTACCTGGATGCTTTATAAAATTGCATAACTGAAACAAGGTTACTTATAGATAAATGTCTTTTCTGGAAAGAACTTTCTGCTTTTTGGATACAAGAAAGCTGTGCTCATACAACATGCAAAGCCATGGGTGGTGCTTAGCCATCATTTATTGCATTTAATACAGTTACATTTCATTTTAATATTTATATCTTACTTTATGGTAATAAGGTCAGAGAGGTTAAGAGCTATCATGTTCAAAATAATGTAAAAATATCACTGGATATAAAAATACTATATTCTTACTAAAATAATTAAATAATAGTCACAATATTTCAAATGCCATCATAACACTAAGAATGTAAGTCCGTTGGACCAGATCAAAGAATTATTGATTCTAGCATTGTGCACACTGACTATCAATTCTATCACACATTGGTAAACCAGATGTATGCTAACTAACTTATTAATGCAATCAATATCAAATAAGTGAAGAATCCTTTAAGACAGATTTCCTTAGAGAGGGTTGCAAGTATTATCTGATTTTGATTCCCTTGATGCAAGAAGCTTCTATGGCTGATCTCATAAACCCTTATCCACAGTTTAGTGATGGTTTAGGAAAGAAAGCCTTAAGATACTAAAGCAGTTCTTCTGTGAGGAGAAGTTACACCATTTGGGGCTTTTTCTTTTAGAACAGAAGCAAATAATGCAGAGGTAGAACAGTATTAAAATATTCATTGATGTGTAGAAAGTAGATAGATTCATGCAGTAGAACTGAATTGTAAGAGTTACATAGTGCTGATTAGTACTACCAATTATGATTGCTTAAAAACCTGGATTAGAAAAATTTCTGGAAGATTAACATATTACTGACTTTTGGCTACAATAGCTATATATTGCCTCCAATATTAATATTAATTTCAATGTTTATGTTGTCTTTCCAAGTTTTCCACTATCAAAGCGACTATGTTTCTGTTAGTATCCATTACCACCACTATGGTAACATATTGCTAGAATAGTTGAATTAACATAAATAGTATATGGTTCATTCATCAGCAGAAGATTAGTGATCAGAATCTATAATTTGCAAGGAAGAACTTCATGCTGTTCCATATTTGTAAATCTATATGCTGCCTTTTGAATTACTTTGCCCATAAGCATATATAGGATACCAGTGGGTGGCTGAAACCAAAGGAACAATAATAGATTATATTTGGGGATCTTCCAGATACTTCTATGCTTCTATTTTATTTTATTTTATTTTATTTTATTTATTTATTTATTTATTTTATTTCTTCATTTTATTAAATCAATATATATGGCTGCCATCTCACATATGTGACTCTGGGCTCTAACAACATATTAAAAAACAGTAAAAACAGTATCAACAATATGCTGGTCAAAGACTGTAATATTACCTACCTAATATTAATAAAACATAAAAAAACATACAATGGTAGCCAAGAATAAACCCAGTAAACATTCAACAATAGACAGTAGACAGCATCTCATCTTAGAGGCCCTTTAACCTCTCGACTATGAATTGCAGTGGAGAGTAACACAACAGGGCTTTCTCCTTTGAAATTATGAATACCTGTAACAGCACAGGAATAATATAGCAGAAAAAAAATAACGATATGCAAATAAATTGATTCATTGTGGTTTCTCAGGCTTAGGAGAGATCCTCCAGGAAGAGAAAAGAGTATATGTAGGCCATAGTTCAGAATAAATATTATGTGTGCAGTGATACAGGCAGAGGGATGGTAGAGAACAGTTGTGAACCAAGTAACTGTGCTGGAGAAATAACAGCAGTACTTACAAAAGAGAAGGATGGCTCTACCCAGGGAGAATTGCTGGAGTACAAGGTAAATTGTGATATTGACCACTGTAATCCAATGAATTACATGAAAACATATTTTTAGATAAAATGTACAATTCCTACTCACATTTTCATATGGATTAACATTTGGTTGAGATTTCACTTGTGTTGCAATATCTTTTTATTTAATCTTGCTGCTGTTTAGAGTATTTGAAGCTTTAATCTGTTATAACGTCAGACTTTGTTCCACTAGTGTAGAAAAAGGGAAGCCTGGATATATCAAATTTGTTTGTTCATTTCATAAGTAAGTACAAAGTCTGGTTGTGTTTGCACAGGATTTGACGTCACTATTCAAAGAAGCGTCAGTCTTATGTGTATATTTGTGAGTTTAGGATATGGAATTTAATGTAGTAGCTTGATTTTCTAAACATGTTCAGAAATCCTATTTACTCATTTGAAGGAAATATAAGAGAGCAACTTTAGAAAGATAGAAATATCACTGCTGTGGGAGAGGCAATGGTATCTTCTGTCCTAGTATGTTTGTAAACTGATTCTTTCTAGAGAGTCTTGATAGTTACCACAAATGTGCTGACTAACAGTTGTAGTTAGAGTCACAAGTCAGAAAGGTCATTTATTTCTGATTACTTTTGCAAATGTGCAGTCAGTCACACCAAG